GGAGTTGGAGGTTGCTGTGAGCTGTAATGCCACGGCACTCTACCCAGGGGGACAGCTTGAGGCTCTGTCTCAAAAAAAAAAAAAAAAAAAAAATTGTCCACAGGGCTGTTTCCCCTCCCGAGGCCCTAAGTAGGCACCTACATCCCTGCCTTCCTCCAACCCCCTGGTTTCTGGCCCCTCCCTCCTTCTTCAGGACAGTGCATCAGGAAACCTCTTTCTCTCCTGAGGGCCTCACTTTCAGTCAAGGAGAACTTGCTGACCTGGATGAGGGCCTGTTATCCAAAATTCTTTGGGTGCTGGTTCAGTGCGGTCCTGATTCAGGGAAAAGGCAGGGCTGCCCATGTGCAAGTTGGTGGTGACATCTGTAGTTGGCTGCGGGCTCAAATTCGCCACCACCCTCCTCAGGAGAAATGGTGGAGTGGCTTCTGAACAGGAGAGGATTCTACCCCTTGTCACCATCTGGGACACACACCCTAGGCCTGACCCATATGCTGAGGGTGGCCTGTCCCTAGAAATAACAGGTGTGAGGCCAGCATCAGGCTGCGGTAGCCATGGGGCCTCCCAGCTGCTACAGCTACAGGAGCTCAGTAAGTGAGCCCTTTCCCCTGGGACATAGGCCTGATTCAAGGAATCTCAGATGGATTCCTTGTCAGCATTACACCTCTAGGCCTAACCCAGGAGCAATGACAGTGCTGGCTGGTGACTGTGGGCAGCACTCTCTCCTAGCTGATGCATGAAGTGGGAAATGATGGCAGCCTGGCAGGTCCTGGATGGACGGCCAGCTGCACTGTGCCTCATAGACCTTCACCCTCTGCTGCAGGGGCCATATGAGGAAGTGGTAAACCTTTTCACTGGGAACTTGACTCACAATCTGGGCTAGCAATAGGGAACAGCCAGGCTGGAGGAGTCTTGCCTCCTCTTCCTCCCCGGCCCTGATTAAGGGGCTCTCGCTAAATTGGACTGTTCGATTTCTTTTATCCAGAGTTGGAACCCGGCCTGATTACCACCCATAGGATGTAGCCACTGAGCCCTAAGGGAGACGCTAAAGCCCAGGAAAGCTGAAGACAGGGGGTAAGGATGGTGGGTCCCACTCACTCTCTGGAGAGGCGAGCAGGAGGTAGACGCTTAGTGACGGGATCCCAGGAGGGCTGTGAAGGAGAATTCCCCGAAGCCACAGAAAGCCTTGGAAACCGAGACAGAAGAGGCTGGATGGGCAGAATCGGATGGGCTGCTCCACCCCTCCCCGCCTCCGCCCGGCCGCCCAACCGCCGGCCTGCTAGCCTGGACCAGCGCGCTAGCCTCACAGCCTGCACTGTACCGCCCAGTGGCACCGGGGATCGAAGCCGGACTCCATTGCAAGACAGATGTGGGCAGGGTTCCAGAGGCGGGGGGAGAGGGTCTTGCG